GAACTAGAGGAACCATCCTAACTTCTCTTGGGGTGGAAATCAGAATATTAGGCCTCAAGCGAATTAAAATCATCCACCTAAAACCCCACAGCAAGCAGAAGAGAGTTTGACTGACATGATGAAAAAGCTCTTGATAGACAATCAGAAAGTTATGGCTGAGAATCAACAATTGTGCACATAATTCAGAAATCTAGAGAGGCAGTCAGGGCAAATGACTAACAATCAGAATACTAGACCTGCTAGAGCTCTTCCAAGTGATATAGAGAAAAATATTCAAGTCAATGCAGTGATGTTGTGAAATGGGAGAGAGTTGGTAAAAGTGCCTAAGAAGAAATAGGAACAGTCTAGGCTCGAAGAAGAAAGAGTGCTAGAACTAGTAAAGGTAGATGAGAGAAACAAAAAGGAGTCTGAGCAAAAAATCAGAGAGGGTGCCACCCCTTTTCCTCAAAGATCGAGAAAAAAGATTGAAGACCACATGCTTCACAAATTCCTAGATATGCTAAAGCAGATACACTTGAACATCCCTTTGGTGAACATGCTCCGTGAGGTCCCAAAATATGCAAAATATATTAAGAACATAATGGCAAATAAAAGGAGAGTTTGAGATAGTAGCAATTACTGAGGAGTGCACTTCCAGGATTCAACATAAGCTTCCACAAAAGCTTAAGGATCCGGGTAGTTTTACCATCCCCTTAAAGATTGATGAATTTGATCTGGGTAGAGCCTTGTGTGATTTGGGTGCAAGTATCAATCTGATGTCGTTGTCAGTGTTCAAACAATTGGTCCTAGGAGCTCCGAGACCCACCACGGTGATGCTACAGTTAGCTGATAGATCTTATGTTTATCCCGAAGGGGTAATTGAGGACGTCTTGATGCAGGTTAGGAATTTTATTTTTCCAGCAGATTTTATCATCCCAGATTACATGGCTGATGAGTTAATTCCTATCATCTTGGAACGACCTCTTTTGGCCACTGGAGATTCAATTATCAAAGTCCGAGAAGGTAAGATGATCCTGAGGGTGGACAATGAAGAAGCAGTCTTCAATGTATATCGAGCCATTCAGCTGCCTTGTCATTATGAGGACCTGGCCATAATTTCGGTGGTAGAGATAAATGAAATAGCTGTAGAGCCAAGTGCGTTTAAAGAAGATGCACTAGAAAAGGCAATGATGTTGTTCAATCACTTGGAACTTGAGGATGAGGTTGAGGAGATGTTGCAAATTCTGGATGTATCTTGCGAATACATAAGAGACAAATCCCAATTTGAGCCTCTTTATAGGCTAATCGGCCTGCCTCCTAAACGCTCAGTTGAGGAGGCCCCAAAATTGGAACTTAAACCCTTACCATCCCATCTTCATTATGCATATTTGGGAAATTCTAACTTTTTACATGTGATTGTTTCTTCTTATTTGTCTGAATTGCAGAAAGAAAAGCTCTTAAGGGTGCTAAGGGAGCATAAGCATGCCGTTGGTTGAACAATGTCTGACATAAAAGGAATTAGCCATGCATTCTGCATGCACAAAATACTCATGGAGGAGGGACACAAGCCTAGCGTGGAGCATCAACGCCGCCTAAATCCAATCATGAAAGAGGTGGTAAGAAAAGAAGTGATTAAGTGGCTCGACGCATGTATTGTATTTCCTATATTGATAGCAAGTGGGTAACCCTGTTCAATGTGTACCTAAAAGTAGGGGTATGACTGTTGTATTTTATGAACAAAATGAATTAATCCCAACTATGACTGTGACTGGTTGGCGAATATGCACAGACTATAGGAAGTTGAACAACGCTATACGGAAAGATCACTTCCCTCTCCCCTTAATTGATCAAATACTTGACAGGTTAGCTGGACAAGAATACTATTTTTTCCTTGACGGCTATTAGGGGTATAATCAGATTGCTATTGCCCTGGAAGATCAATAAAACACCACTTTTACATGCCCTTATGGCACTTATGCATTTAAGAGAATGCCATTAAGGTTGTGTAATGCACCTGCGACTTTTCAAAGGTGTATGATGGCTATTTTCACCGATATGGTGGAACGGTTTATGGAGGTTCTTATGGATGATTTTTCTATGTTTGGTCCTTCTTTTGATGAAGGCTTGACCAATCCTGCTAAAGTGCTTTCCAGGTGAGAGGAACTAATCTGGTACTGAATAGGGAAAAGTGCCATTTTATGGTACGTGAAGGTATAGTGCTGGGACACAAGGTGTTCAAAAATTTACTGGAAGTTGACAAAGTTAAGGTGGAATCAATTGAAAAGTTGCCACCACCGATTCCAGTGAAAGGAGTTAGGAGTTTTCTGGGACATGCAGGTTTTTATCACCGATTTATAAAGGATTTCTCAAAAATTTCCTCTGCTTTGTGCAGGTTGTTAGAGAAGGATGCTTCGTTCAAGTTTGACGATGATTGTCTGAAAGCATTCGAGGAGCTGAATAAGAAGTTAGTGAGTGCACCAATCATAGTGGCTCCTAACTGGAATGAGCCATTTGAGCTGATGTTTGACGCCAGTGATGGTACAATTGGGGCCGTACTATGCCAGTGGAGGACAAAAATATTTCACTGCATTTACTATGCAAGCAAGACTCTCACTCCCGCTCACATAAATTATACTGTGGTAGAAAAGGAGTTATTTGCCGTAGTGTTGGCATTCGATATATTTAGGGCCTATTTAGTTGGCACCAAAGTCATCGTCTACACAGACCATGCAGCCATTAGGTATTTGGTTGAAAAGAAAGATGCTAAACAAAGGCTAATCTGTTGGGTTTTATTCTTGCAGGAATTTGACAGAGATCCGAGACCGTAAAGGAATAGAGAGTCAAGTGGTTGATCACTTGTACAGGTTAGAAACTCTGAATCATGTAGCCGAGGGAGATGTCGTCAAGGAAACATTCCCAGATGAGCAAATGTTGTCCATTACTGCTGGGGAGCTACCATGGTAGGAAGATTTTGTGAACTATCTAGAAAGTGGAGAAATGCTACCCGATCTTGGACATTATGCTAAAAAGAAGTTCTTGGGAGATGTGATCTCATATGTGTGAGATGAGTCGTTTCTGTTCAAATCTTGTATTGATCAGTTAATGAGAAGATGTGTGCCGGAATTTGAAATAAATGCTATCTTACATGAGTGCCATGCATCGCATTATGGTGGTCACTGATCGGGTCCAACCCTACACCACTACGAAGTGTCAAGAGCGGTCGATGCTGCTTTTACCCAAGATGGTCGGGATCGAATCCACAGGAAGCTAGATTGTTTGGGATTTGGATTCCTATCTAAACTAGCAGTGCGTAGTGCTCTTAATTACACTTCCAATCATAATTGTTCGTTTGTTACATCTAATTTTATACTAATGAGATGCTAAATTAAACTAAGAATAAATGCTTGTAAGGTTTTCTAAATGGATAACGAGGCACTAGGGAAGTGACTTTCTCCTAGGTGCATACTTGACGGGTTCTGAAGCCTAAGGCAAAGTTGCTATGTTGGGAATTGCAATATAGCTAATGCACCGAACTACTCACTCTATACCTCTCGGTAGCTTGAGTGACTTTGCCCTAATTGACTTTCTCAAGACCAATTGGGTGTCAAAATTGTGCAAGCAATATAGGCTCGAGTTGGGTATTACTATCTTTATGTTTAAAGCTTTAATTGGGGCTATCAATCTGTTGAATACACCCCAATTCCTTGTTGGACTAAGTTTCCGAGACTCAATCTCTCTTTCTCAAGAAGAGCCCAAATCAAAAAGGCACAAATTATTATTTGCAACCACTAATTCAACATAGAAAATACAAATCAATCCAAATATCAACCACCCATAAAGATCTAACCCTTAAAACACAAGACCCATCAAATACCCACACTAGAGTTGAGCCACAACCCTAGATAATGGGTCTAGCTACTCATAATAATGGAAAAAGTCAGATATTTAGATGAAGAATAACCCATATAATATGTTTACAAGCTAAGAATTAAAGATTCAATGTTGAACTAGCTACAAAATTACCCAAAATAGGTCCAAAACGGCCTTCACGTGCTCAGCTATGAATTGGATCACCTAAAAATCTGAAAAAGAAGTATTTATGCAAGGCCGAACTTTCAGGACCAAAAATACCCCTGATGGAGGTACCGCGGACCGGGGAAAATGCACCGCGGCCGCGGTGAGGCTTTTTGGCTTGACTTTTCATTCTCTGAATCTGGCCACCGCAGATCGCATAAAACGTCTTGAGCTCTCTGAATCTCCTTTCTGCAGACCACAACAAATGGTCTACGGTTGTGGTGAGGCTACTGCGGCCACGAAGAATCTTCCGCGGACCGCACTACCTAACATCACCAGGATTGCACGTCTCTGAATCTCCTCACCGCGGACCGCACTTAATGGACCGCGGCCGCGGTGGGTTTGTCGCAGCTGCAGTGGATTTTATGCTGTAGCAGTGCTTTGACTTGTTCTTGGTTCTTGTGCAGGTTTCACTCCCTTTTTAGCTGGTTTTGACTTCTTGTCACTTTCTTGACCAAACCCTACAAACAAGTACAACATGTAAGCCTTTGGGACTATTTGTATACATTTTTAATCAAAACTCAAGTAACAAGGAGTATAAAATGAACAAGAATCCCTAGTTATCAACTCCCCCAAACTTAAGCTTTTGCTTGTCCTCAAGCAAACAAAATAAGTTCCACCTCCTTAAGAATAAAGCCAAGAAAATTCAGCTGACCTAAAGTGACCTCATCTAGCATCAATTGGGACTAACAATTGCCCTCAATTCAAATGAATCTTTAACAACATTCAACCTTTTATGCAGCAGGCTACACCTCACCACTCATGAGAACACCTTGCCGTTCTCCCGGGCAATTTTAGTGGATTCAATTATGGCAGGCTACCCGATCAATGTCGGGAATGTCATTCTCGTATGATCACCAGGGTGGTGAATGAGAATGATAGATCATACCTGTTCCCCAACTTCCTCACAATGTACTTCGAGGATCAGGATGCGGAGGGGAGGAGATTCAATTTGAAGGTGAAGCCCAAAATGCCCTTTTTTGGTATAGCTTAAAGAGCCCAGACAACCCCAAGCCCTCTGGATAAAAGCCCTCAGGATCCAAAGGAAAAGCCACTACTTCTACTAGCCAGTCTGAAGAGCCAGTAGTGGTAGTCCCTTCTTCTCGGCCACCCACAGCCACACCAGATATTGCCCCAGGACCATCCACTGCCACTGCTCCAGATATCCCCTCATCTTCAACCTACCCATTGACTACCCATCGTTTGAGCCAAACCCTTGCCATTATCGACAACTGGATGCAGACAGCTACTTCTAAGCTATTTGTGCTTTCTAGCTCAGTGGCAGCCCAGTCCGTACCCCTACAGCCACAAGTTCCTGAGTCAGTGGATGAGACTCTCAAGGAGCTTCTGGACAACCAGAAGAAGCTCCTAGAGAACCAGCAGTTGATATTGGAGGCTGTAGGTACTCATAGGAAAGCATTGAAGGAGCTGATAAACGAAGCAAAGAAGCTGAGAAAGACTCGAGCATTAAAGGAGTGTGTGAAGGAGTTGAGGGTAGAAGTGGAGAAGATGAAGGCTGCTGATCACTTGCCATTAGAGCTACTATTGCATGACCCAATTCCAGCAGCCAAGCCTGAGCCGGAGCAGTAGTTGGAGAGGTAACCAAAGAGGAGGAGGGTGATCCCCCGAGCTGATGATGCAGTGATTGAGTTGGAGGACCCGTAATGAGGTTCCTCCAGCCAGCCTCAGGTCTCAGAGCAGCCCTAGGTCCCAGAGCAGGCACAGGTTACAGGGATCCAGTCAGAGGTTCTCGAGCAGTCCTAGGACCCTGGGACCTAGACTCATGATCCCATGCAGACGGAGGACCAATAAGGAGTATTCTTTACTCTCTCTCTTTTCTTAAGCTATTTTTGGTTAGTTAGCATTGAGGACAATGCTAGCTTTCATTTGAGGGGGTAGCCCTATTTTGATAATACTCAGTTGTAAATATGATACTATTTTCGTTTTATTATGCTTTTTCATTTTTGGTATGTATGTAATTTTACATGTTTATTTCACTTTTTGTACTTTGCAACCTTGGTGTGTATATAAAGTTACTTTCTGATGTATATATTCATTCCCTCTGATGTATATTCTTCTAAACCCTCTATTGTACGTATTCATTCTACTTTCCGCATTCTCTGTCATAGCGTCTTATTTCATTTTGTAGCTTCTTCTTTTGAGTTTTGCATTCAATAATCCTTTGGTTTTCTTAATGCCACGGTTCTTTCCAAAGGTGTAGTTTGTGTGAACCGGGTGCCTCTTCCCGATGATGGATGGCATGACAACCTTCTTAAGGGTTTGAGTCTGTTTTCTTTTTGTTTTTGTGTAAATAGTAGCCAGTGTGTAATAGTGCCTCAAGCAAAGCTTCACTTGGGCCTAACACATTTGCCTTTGATCTTATGGTAAAAGACAATTGGTGTGTAGAGGATGGTGACAGTTGTGACCTTGAGACTCTTGTGTTGGCCGACAATCATCAAGTGGTTTTTCGGGATCATTTGTGTTGCTCATATCTTAGCTAAGGTTGTTGTGGTCCCCCGACTCTGTCTCTTTTGAAATCCTATAGCTTGTGTGGTGAGAATTTGAATTGCAAGTCCAAGTCCCGTGCCATTGAGTCTAGAACTTTCCCTGAATGTTTGTCTAGGCTAAATGCTAAGTGTACTTTGACTTAAGACTTGATTATTGGTTGTCTTCTCCTCCACTGACTCTGGAACCTGTGGCTGTGGGGGTACGAATTGGGCTACCACCAAGCTAGTAAGCACAAACAACTTAGAAGTAGCTGCCAGCATCCAGTTGTTGATAATGGCAAGGGTTTGGCTCAAACAATGGGCAGTCAATGGGTAGGCTGAAGATGAAGGGATATCTGCAGCAGTGGCAGTGGATGGTCCTGGGGCAGTATCTGGTGTGGCTGTGGGTGGCTGAGAAGAAGGGACTGCCACTACTGGCTCTTCAGACTGGCTAGTAGAAGTAGTGGCTTTTCCTTTGGGTCCTGAGGGCTTTTATCCGGAGGGCTTGGGGTTGTCTGGGCCCTTTAGGCTATACCAAAAAAAGGGCATTTTGGCTTCACCTCCAAATCCAATCTCCTCCCCTCCGCATCCTGATCCTCGAAGTACATTGTGAGGAAGTTGGGGAACATGTATGATCTATCATTCTCATTGACCACCCTGGTGATCATACGAGACATGATATTCCCAACATTGATCGGGTACCCTGCCATAATTAAAGCCACTAAAATTGCCCGGGAGAACGGCAAGGTGTTCTCATGAGTGGTGGGGTGTAGCCTGCTGCATAAAAAGGTCTCCTATCCTTTTTGCCTCGAAGTTCAGGGTGTTCCTCAAAATCTGAACCCTACTGTCAACCATGCTGGAGTGGTGCCCGGGAGTGCCAAGTACTCTGCTAAACACGGAAGGGCAGCCTCATCCAATGCTATCTTTTCCAAGTACATAGACTCATATTCCTCAGCGAAGCCCAGGTAGTCATTGATGGACTGTCCATCGAACTGAATCTTCAAGTTCCGTACCTTTGTCACTTTAGTGCCCCTTTTTATGTGGGCGGAATTAGCATAAAACTCCTTGACTAAGTGCTCATATGCATCCCAGACCTTGCTTGTAAAATACTCCCAGCCCCATCGCTCTCTTAATTGCCTCTTCACATTAGGGTTGTGAGGCAGAAGGTCCCTCTCAATGAATTGTCACTCAAGAATCAACTTCCTCCAAGGCCACCACTCCTGGAACTTGTGGTATGCTGTCTCAGTAACAAATCTCGTTTTCCAGGCCTCCGGGTCGCTAGTTCTCTCTACCCCCCCCCCCTGTTTGGGGTTCTCCCCCTTCTTCTTCTTATTCCTCTATAGGATCCTCACCAGGTGTTGAAGCTGCAGGTGAGGTAGAAGAAGCATTATCACCGCTCCTGAGCCCTCAGATGACTCAGAAGAAAATTGAAGCTTGAGCAGTAGGAGAAGCCTGAGGGGTAGGTTCATCTCTCACTATCAACCTCTCCGAGAAATCAGGGACATACTCCGGCACTGAATCAGACTCAGATGCCTCCCAGGAGGGCACATACTCACTTCCCTCTAAATAGGTAGCATCTCTATCTGCAACCTTTATTTGCTTTCTGGTGTCCCCGATTGCTTTCTGGACTTGGGGGGTCAATTTTAACATTCCTCGTCCCCTACCCCGAGAGGTCTCTCCTTTTCCTTTTTGTTTATCACCATCGCCTCGTGATTTAACCATTGTCTACAAGGTGAATTCATTTAGTGTTTGTTAGTATCACTGTACCAGGAGAAATAGTGAAGAATATGATTGAAAACAGCTGACTGTGAACCGCATAAAAAGCAGTGTGGCTGCAAAGGAACAACCGCGAACCACACAAAATGGCACCGCGAACTTCAGTGAAGTGGAGTTCAAAATACCCACTCTCTGATTCATGGCACTGCAGACCGCAAGAAATGAAGTGCGGCTGCGGTAAGACACCGCGGACCGCAAAAAAATGACTGCGGCCGCGGTCTTCAAAACAACCCCTCGGAAGTTTTCCACAACGGACCGCGGAAGAACCATTGCGGCCGCGGAGAGGCACCACGGACCGTGGAAAATCCACCGCGATCGTGGTAAGCATAACTCAACAACACTAACCTAGGGTTTCAATATTTTTCTCATTTTTAGCCTAAATTCACATATTATCAACCCCCTAGGTAGTCAATCATCATTTTAAACTAAATAACCCTAATCTAAACAACATTATGTAACCCTACGCTATAAATTGAAAGAAAAGGGAAGAAAAAGAAGTGCACTGAAAAATTAAAATAGAATAAAACAAAATTAAAGACTAGGGAAAAATTTGAAGTACCAGGGATGAGATGCAACACAGATGATCGAGAAACAGTGTTTGCGTGCACTTAGGGTAGGGATGAACAGTACTTTTTTTTATTTAGGCGACAACTGAGCGAAAAGTGTATGAGGGCCTGAGGTCCTATTTATAGAAAAAGGATCTGGGACCCACGATACCTACCCACTGCGGACCGCATAAAATGAACCATGGTCCGCGAAACTTAAGCACAAGGAGCACTGGAAGGAAGTCATTGCAGACCGCAAAAAATGCTCCGTGGCCACAGTAGGGCACCCAGAACCGCATAAAATGCATTGCGGCCGCGGTGACAACTTCCGAGAACCCCCACATTTGACCATTCAACACTGCGGGCCACAATGAAAGTTTTCCCTCGCAACAAGGCCATTGCGGCCGCTAAAAAAGCACTATGGCAGCGAGCCCAACTTCAGAGAGTGCAACATTCTTCCAATTTGGTCCTGCACTGTATCAAAACAACCCTACACTCATCTCACAACCAATTAGTCCAAAAGTAAATCCTACACTAAAAAGAAAACCAAAGAAAAACAAAAAAGAAAGAAACATGGGTTGCCTCCCAAGAAGCGCGTGATTTAACATCGCGGCACGACACAGATTACCATCAAATCACTTTAGATGGATCATTGCCACCACATGGCTGTCATCAATCTTGCCAAGATAGTGCTTGACTCTGTGCCCATTAACTCTGAAGATCTCTCCATTTGTTTTTCCAAGTCAAGTGCACCAAACGGAGTCACAAGCACCACTTCAAAAGGTCTACTCCATTTTGACTTAAGCTTTCCCAGAAACAGACATAACCGAGAATTGAACAAGAGAACCAAATCACTCACATTGAACTCCTTGCTACCAGCATACTTGTCATGAAGGTACTTCATCTTGTCCTTGTACAAGGACGAGCTGGAGTAGGCATCGAATCGGAATTCATCCAGTTCAATAAGCTGCTCCACACGATGATTTGCTGCCACATCCCATTCAAGATTCATCTTCCTCAAAGCCCACATGGCCTTGTGCTTTAACTCAACTGGTAGATGGCAAGCTTTCCCAAACACCAACCGCTATGGAGACATACTAATCAGAGTCTTGTAGGCAGTCCTATAAGCCCATAGAGCATCATCCAATTTCTTTGACCAATCGGTCCTATTTGCATTGACCGTCTTTGACAATATACTCTTGATTTCCCTGTTTGAGACTTCAATTTGGCCACTCGCCTGAGGATGATAAGGGGTAGAAACTTTGTGATTGAGACCATACTTTGCAAGAAAAGTGTCAAAAGCTCTATTACAAAAATGAGACATCCCATCACTTATCATTGCTCGAGGAGTGCCAAACCTAGTAAAAATACTCTTCTTGAGAAACGCAACAACACTCCGGGCCTCATTATTGGGTAAAGCCACAGTCTGAACCCACTTTGAAACATAGTCAACTGCCACTAGAATGTATGTGTTCCCACCCGAAGTAACAAACAGGCCCATGAAATCAATGCCCCACACATCAAAAGTATCATATTCGAGAATAGTATTGAGAGGCAATGCATCCTTCATCGAAATTCCACCCGCTCTTTGACATTCGTCGCATCTCTTCACAAGTTCACTTGCATCTTTGTACAAAGTTGGCCAGTAAAACCCACCACTAAGAACCTTTGAAGCTTTCCTCGCCCCACCATGATTACCACCATAGGGAAATGACAAGCCTCTAAGATACTCAATTGATCCTCCTCCGGGACACACCTCCAGATCACCCCATCAATGCAGATCTTAAACAAGTACGACTCATCCTAATAGAAGTAAAAACTATCTCGTTGAGCTTCTTACATTGGTTAGAAGAGACATCACACGGGATTATACCTGTCACAAGGAAATTAGAAACATCTGAAAACCATGGCATACCATTCACCGACACAGAAAAGAGTTGCTCAAAGGGAAATGAATCATTGATCTCTAGGCCATCACGAGGCCTCCTCTCCTCCTCCAATTGGGACAAGTGGTCCTCCACTTGGTTCTCAGAACCCTTCCGGTACACAATCTCCAAATCAAACTCTTGAAGTAACAAGACCCATCGCATCAGCCTAGCTTTGGAATCCTTCTTCGTCATCAAGTACCAGGGTGCAGCATGATCGGTATGAACTATGACCTTGGCGCCCATGAGATATGGCCAAAACGTTTCCAATGCGAACACAATAGCCAAAAGCTATTTTACACTTGATCATCATTCATTGTCTTGCTCGCCAAATACACCAGGTGAAACATTTTATTCACTCTTTGACCCAAAACCGCCCCAACCGCAACATCACTCGCGTCACACATGAGCTCAAAGGCAAGCTCCAATTGGGTGCGGTAATAATATGAGTGGTCGTCAACTTGTGCTTGAGATGTTCGAAATCTTGCATACAACCCTCATTGAACACGAACATGGCATCCTTTTCCATAGCTTGCACAAAGGATTCACTATCTTAGAAAATCCTTGATAAAATTCTGGTAGAACCCGACATGCCCAAGAAAACTTCTAACCTCCTTGACTGAGGTAGGAGGAGAGAGCCTTGAAATCACTTTAATTTTTGCTTTGTCCACCTCTATACCGTGCATTGAGATTTTATGGCCTAGGACTATGCCCTCCTTAACCATGAAGTGACATTTTCCCAACTGAGCACAAGATTGGTTTCTTCACACCGGTCCAACACCCTATCAAGATTCTTCAAACATTCATCAAACGATTCACCCAAACCACTGAAGTCGTCCATGAACACCTCCAAAATGTCTTCCACCTTGTCGGTGAATATGGCCATCATACACCACTGGAATGTAGCCAATGCATTACACAATCCAAATGAAATCGTAGAAAAAGGCAAAGGTACCATATGGGCAAGTGAAGGTGGTCTTCTACTGATCTTCCGAAGCAATCAAAATTTGATTGTACCCAAAATACCCATCCAAGAAACAGTAGAAGGCATGCCCAGCAAGTCTGTCTAGCATCTGGTCAAGGAAAGGCAATGGAAAGTGATCCTTGCGGGTCACTTTATTCAACTTGCGGTAATCCATACACACCCTCCATACCGGTGACTGTTCTTGTAGGAATTAACTCATTTTGCACATTGGTAACCACAGTCATACCACCCTTCTTTAGCACACATTGCACCGGCGAAGTCCAAGAACTATCAGAGATGGGGTACACAACCCTGGCATCCAACCACTTGATCACCTCCTTTTTCACAACTTCTTGCATTGCCTCGTTCAACCTCCTTTGATGTTCCAAGGAGGGCTTTGCATCATCTTAAAGAATAATCTTGTGCATACAAAAGGCGGGGCTTATCCCCCGAATATCAGCTAAAGTCCTTCCAATTGCCTTCTTCCGTTTATTGGAGCA